TGGGAGAAGGCCGAAGCCAGCAAGTGGTCATCCTCCGAGGGGTCCCATACTGGGAGAGGGCACAGGCTGGGCTGAGGGACCCTCCCAAGTGCACAAATTTTTGTGCACCAGGCCTCTACTAAGAAAATAAACTAAGAAAGCAGAAAACATAAGGTACATAACACAGAAAATCCAATACCATGAGAGGCAATGGGAATTCACAGAATGATGGTGAACCCCAAATGACAGCTGAACTACTGGCTCAGAGAGAAATAATTTCAGATTTTGGCAAGACCATAGTGGGGTCCGGGAGAAGGTAAAAATAGATTAAGTTCATAGAAATATTTATTAGTTTGAATTGTTGACAGAAATTTTCATTTAAGGTAAAGAGTGCACATGTTGAGGTAAATCTAGTGTTAGCTACATAGAAACCTTAAGGAGACAAGAAAATAAGATTTATTTTCTTTGAGAAACACTAAAAGCTATGCAAAAACAAAACAAACAGAAATGTGATCATAATTTATTTATATTAGAGGCCTGATGCATGAAATTCATTTAAGAGTAGTCCTTCCTTCCCCCAGCTGCTGGCACCGGCTTCCCTCTGGCACCCGGGACTTGGGCTTCCTTCCAGCCACCAGCTTTGTTCGGAAGTTATTCTGGAAGGAGGTCCACTTTTTTTTAACGCTTTTATTATTATAGATTGCTCAGCTGTGAGCCCTATGGTACCATTGTGTATATCTACATTACAAAGATCGTGGAAGGGTGTGTGTGTGTGTGTGTGTGTGTGTGTGTGTCTGATCTACTTTATTTTGTGGGTTGTGGAGGGAGTGAAAAAACACACACATTAAATTCTTGTTTTTCCACCAAGAGAAGACTAAAACATTAAGAAACCACAGGATAAGCAGTAAAAGCTTGTCATTTAGCGAAAAGGAGTTAGAACTAAAAGAGGTCACCAATATAGTCGAACTTGGACAATAGGATATTTTTTATAATAAAACTTATAAAACTTTAAATTATATGAAATTAAAAAATTTTAAAGAATGAATAAATAGTTTGTGAGATGTTCCATAAAAATTAAATGAAGACTGTGTTCTTTAGGAGCATAGTATCTCAGTTGGGGTATAGTTTATGAAAGTCTTCTCAGAGAAAATTATTCTTTACCATAAAGATAAATTGAAGTTAATCACAAGGTTGAGGGACAAAAAGTTATCATGGGCAGAAAAAACAGCCTGAACGAGAGCTAAGTAGCATTCATGAATATGCTTCATTGGCGGATCCCAAGTGATGTTTTGCGGTTGGAGCATGGAATGTGGGCAGAGAGGAGACTGCTGAGGAATGGGGTTGGCTGGGTCTGATGGTGCTCAAGTCATGAAGGACCTTGTGTGCCCAGATTGTGACTGACAGAACAGATTTGCATTCTGAGATAAAAATGATCTTTCAAATGAGAGATGTATCGAAAAATGAACGTACTGGGACAAGCAGATCATTTAGGAGGCTGGTGAAGTAAATTGGGCAAGAAGTGCAAGCAGTAAAAATGGAGAGTGAACACCTAACATATTTTAAAGAGGTAGGATCAACAGCTAGGACCTGGGGGAAATGAGGAAGGTAGAGAAGTCACAGGTGATTTTCATGTTTCTATTTTCACTGCTGGAAGAATTTAGTGGGAAAGAAAATAAAAGAAGGGACATATTTTCATAGGAAGTGTTATGGACTAAATATCTGTGTCCCCTCAAAGTTCATATGTTGAAACCTTAGACTCTCTTGTAATTGTATGAGGAGGTAGGGCCTTCATAGGTAATGAGGATTAAATGAGGTCCAGAGAGCAGAGTGCCCTTAAATGGAACTAGTGTCCCAAGAAAGCTTGCTTCTCTATGCTCTTTGTCATGTGAGGATACAAGGAGCAGACAGTCATCTACAAGTCAGAAAGTGTGGTCTCACCAGACCTGCTAGCACCTTGGTCAAGGTCTTGCCAGCTTCTAGAGCTAAGAAATAAATATTTGCTGTAAAGCCTTCGAATCTATGATAATTAGTTATAGCAGCCTGAATTATAACAATGGGTATGAGTTCAGCTCGCTGGGCATACTAGTAAGCCCAGCTCTATTAAGCATTACATCCTAAAAATAATATTCTCATTTCCACATAAGACAAGCTGTGATTGGGTAATTTCAGCCCAGAAATTCACAGACACGGGATAATAATAGTTGGAATTAAAGATTTGTTTTTTAGTTCTCCCTAGATAGGGAAGAATACCTATTTGGACCTCATCCACATGCCATGGTTTGTTAATTCACTCCCTCCCTCCCTCATTCATTCATTCATTCATTCACCACCAAAACTTGTTAAGGACCCCTGCCTTCACAGCTGACTGCCTATTAGAGCAAATAAGCATATACATACCCTCCCCAGATAATTCTATTTTTTAAGCAAAAAATGAAGAGGATCCTTGGATAAGTTAGAAAGGACCAGTGATGGGAATGAGAAATAGAGCAATCACTGTCCATTTAGGAAGTTCTTGGTAAAAGGAGGATAAAAAAGAAAGAGAATTGGAAGAAGGTAAGGAATGGGAAGCATAAAAATAAAAATGTTTAAATCATAATGCCACAATAGTGCTGTAAGACTTCTTGGTTTTGACGGAATAATCAACTATCTCCTATCTCTATTTAAATCTGTGTCTTACTAATCATAAAAAGTGTTTATCATATAGCAAAGTCCAGAGATGAATAAAGAAATACTAAACCTGAAATTATGAAACATATTACTTATTCCCATGGGACTAGGTCAATTTATGGACCGTCAACTGACCCAAAAAATAAATTTTAAATCATGTTTAGAATTTACATCTTTAGTTAATTTCCTTCATTAGCAGCATGGACATTTCTTCTGCATTTCTCATTATTTAATCACTGCTGAAGTACATGCCCAGCTTCTCTCGTGATCTAAATCATTGTTCGTGCATTTTTATGAAACCACCAGCCTTGTTTGACTGAAAACAAAACCTAGACATTTTCTAAGTCATGCTTTCTGGGTTTGCCTGCCTGAGCATGGTGAAGGTTTTTGTAACCAACCACAACCTACATCTCATGACCTACATTATGCACATGCATATTTTTCTGGAGAAATTTAGATGCCCCCAAATTTTCTGGAAAAAAAATTCTTTCCTTCTTAGATAGTATTCTAAAACATATTCATTAACTTGACTTTTAAAAGGGGCAGAACAAACCATAAATTTGCGTTTTTAGAAAAACTGTATGGTCCCAGCTCTTAATAGTAAGCAAAACAGATCATGTTTTTTAGGGGAGGGGGAGGAATTGTTATAATGATATTAAATTGATCTAAGAATCACAGGAGCCCGGCTGGCATGGCTCAGTGGTTGAGCATAGACCTATGAACTAAGAATATCAAAGAAGATGGAGAAGGAGGCTTATAGGCTATGCAGATAGGAGGCATACTTAAAATAAGCCAGCAGAAGCAGCCTGCTTAAAACACCAAAACCACTATTACTGTCACAAGGACCAAGTACTTCAGCTTGGACAGCCAATAGCACCCGCACTGGATCCTGGACACTGCCCTAGCACGGCCACATGGCTGCCCTGGGCACTCCATCCCACTACAGCCACAGCTACCAGAGGGTCCTCCACAGTTCCCCACACTCTATCTTGCAACTTACAGATCGGTTGGATGCATATGACTGGCAGAGCTAAGTCACATGCTCATACTCTTGATACAAGGAAGACTGGGAAAGTAGGACCTGGTATCTTCAACCTCTATATTTGGAGGTGGTTTTCCTCCTACCCAAATTCACCAGGTGAGAAATTCCCCAAACATAAGAAGAAGGCTTAGATGATGGGGAGGCTAAAAAAAAAAAAGAGAGAGAAATGTTGACTCAAAAGATATGGATGTATTTCTATACTGTGTCAGTTCTGGATCTCCTTCAAGGGCTACTCTTCCAAATGTTGGTGTCTCCTTTGTATTCTTTTCTCACCTGCACACTTCTCTTGAGATCTCATCCATCCTCAGAGTGTAATGGCTCAAAAATATACATCTTTAGCCACCTTCACATCCTTACTCTGACGGAGGCTGCTCACAGTCTACCAAAATCTGTTACCCTTTTCTTCCATAGAAATCACATTTTAGTTTGGCATGGAGCTTCCAGGATATACACAATTTCT